AGCTCTGGTAGCATAGTGGCTAAAGCACTTGACTGCTAACCAGAAGGCTGGTGGTTCAAACCCACCAGCCACTCCTCGGAAGGAAGGTTGGGCAAACCTACTTCCATAGTGATACTACCTCGGAAACCCAAGGAGGGGTCTATGAGTTGGTGCCGACTCGACGGCACATAACAACAACAACAATATTCTTTTGTATTCATACTAAATAATTGGCAATTCCTTTGCAAAAGAAAACAGGACACAAGGAAGTAGATGGCTTGAATTCTGTCCCGCTTGTTCCATCCTGGAAGCTGCAGGCTGTAAATGTTCCTTGTTTTGAGCACAGCACCATCGTTCTGTTATGGCCTGTATCCTGAGAAGAGGCTGAGCTGAGGAGTCCCGAGACCCCCATCCTTCATCAGCCATTGTAGCCTCCTGCTTATTCCTATATACACGGGGCTCCAACTCTTTAAAAAAAAAAAAAAATGATTTCATTTTTTAAACAGTTGGTTGTTGTTTAGTGCCATCAAGTTGATTTCAACTCAGAGTAGAACTGCCCCATAGGGTTTTCTTTATGGGAGCAGATCCTTAAGTCTGTCTCCTATGGAGCCGCAAGTGGATGCAAACTGCCAGCCTTCCTGTTCATAGCTGAGCATGTACCCATTGTGTCATCAGGGCTCTCTTTTAAACACTCTGTTCTATGGTAAATAAAAGTTAAATAATTTAGTCTCTTAATCTGAGAAGGACCTTACAGTATGAATATTTGTTTTCGGTGGTAGAATACTTAGCCCTGTGTTTTACTTAATAACCATTATTTCTATTATTCAGAGAATAGTTACTGAGTGTCTGCTATGATGGGGCACTGGCCTGCATGTACTATATATGAATGTATTATGGGGATGCAGGGAGCTCTGGTGGCATAGTGCCTAAGGTGTTTGACTGCTAACCAGAAGGCTGGCAGTTCAAACCCACCAGCCACTCCTCACAAGGAAGATTAGGCAGTCTACTTCTGTAGTGATACTGCCTCGGAAACCCAAGGAGGGGTTGCTGTGAGTCGGGTTTGACTCCACAGCAGTGAGTTTGGTTTGTTTTGGTTTTGGTTTTGGCTTTGGTTTGGTATTGGGATGCAAACATGAATAAAACACGCTAGCTGCCTGTCAGAGGCTAATAGCCTCTTCAGGGAAACAGACACATAAATCAATAATTACAGTTCAGTAAGATGAGTACTTTAACAGAGTTTAGTTTAAAAAAAAAATTAAAGCAAAAACAAACAGCTGAAGGGGTGGGGACCACAGAGGTCTCAGAAAAGAAGTGACATTTGAACTTTGTAGAATGAGCAGTCAGTTTACTTTTCTTAAATAGGATCTGTTGAGGATACTTACATAGGAGACAGATGGGTGATAGGTTGAAAGAAAGGAAGGGCCCAGGCTATGAAGAGCTCAGCATGCCAAGTCAGGAATCTAGAATGTGTGGGTGTGGTAGTTAAGGTTATGTGTCAACTTGGCTGGGCAGCTGGATGTAGTTATTCCCCATGATGAGACTGGTAATCAACTCCATGGTGGAATCTACTGGAGCAGCTGAGTAGCTGCCTTAGGGAGATGGTCTGTTTCCAGTATAGAAGAAGTTTCAAGAAAGGTCTCTACATCTTTTTAACATGCTTGGACCTGCATGTAGCTGAGTCTTCATTTAGCGGCCTGCTGTGGACTTGAATTAGCAGCCTGCTGTGTTGTTTGGTAATATTGGAACAGTGCCATTTTATTTGTTGATGTTGGGCTTGTTAGCCTCAGCAGCCAGCAGCTGCCTGAGTGAAAGACACCTCTAGTGAGTAAAGCTTTTGGGACCTTCATTTGCTGATGTGACATGATTCATAATGAGTGAGAAGAAACATCCGATAATAATTGGAACATGGAATGTACGAAGTTTGAATCTAGGAAAATTGGCTGGGAGCAAGAGTCAGAGCTGAAATCCAAGATCAAGGAGCTTTCACCCACCCCCTAGAGTTTGGCAGTTTGAACTCAGACTTTTAGCCTCTTAAACTGTAAGAGAATAAATCCCTGTTTATTTAAGATCACCCATTTGTGGTATTTTCTGTTAAAGTGGCACTAGAGAACCAAAATAGTGAGGAAGGTTTTTTTAAATTAAATAATGGTGTGATATTAGAAACTAAACTTGGACATGCCCTTATAGGAGGTACAAGAGGCTGCAGGCAGAGATACCAGTGCTACAGTAGTTAGTGAGAGAAAAGAGTATGGAATTGACTCCAACAATATTATAGAGGTAGCAGCTACAGGGCCTGGCACTGCTTGCATGTGGGCCTAAGAGAAGGAAGGGAGGATGTCTCCCCATCTCCTGAGGCCCTTGGAAGGTCATGTGTCACTCAGAGTTAGGACATAGAAAAGGAGAGCAGGTTAGGTGTGGTGGATAGGATAAAGTAACAAGTTCCTCTTTGGACATTTGGACACGTTGAGTTTCTGTGAAACATTCAGGTGCTAATGCCTGGTGGTATGTTAGTAATTGGAGATTTTAATCTTTGGGAAGGAGTTGGGATCTGGAAATAAAGACGCAGAATTACCAATCTTAAAATAAAGACGCAATAGAGGATATTTAAAGCAGATAAAACCAGTTGCCATCAAGTCAACTCCAGCTCATGATAACCCTGTGTGTCAGAGTAGGTGCTCTTTTGATGAAGAAACTAAATTATTTGACTTTTATTTAATGTGCTCCATAGGGTTTTCAGTGACTGATTTTTGGAAGTAGATCACCAAGACTTTCTTCTGAGATGCCATTGGGTGGAGTCAAACCTCCAATATTTTTGGTAGTAGCCATTTGTGCTGCTAAGGGACTCCTTGAAAAGCAGATGAGTTCTATTATTTATATTAATCATAACATACAGTTATTTATATGGGGCTTCACATCAGTGAGAACTCCCAATATAGCCATTCTGGCTTTCTACTGCCCAACTCCATGGGGTGCTGTGATGGTTAAGGTTGTGTCAACTTGGCTGGGCCAGATTCTCAGTGGTTTGGCAGTAATGATGTAGCCTTCCCCCATGATGAGATGTGACATGAGCAGTCAATCAGTTGAAAGGGAGTTTCCTTGGGAGTGTGATCTACTTCCAGTATATATGGACATTCTAGCAAAGTTCTCTGGCTTTTTGCTTGATCTGGATCCTCCATCTGGCTTGTCATCATCTGACCTCTAGTTCTGCTTTCTTTGTGGTAGTAGATCTCTCCAATCTATTTTACATATTTAATCCCTTTCATATCTCAAAAAAGATTAACTCATAATGCAACTTAATCTTGAGATTGCATCCTGCCACATTAGCACTGTAGAGGTAAGGATTTACAACACAGGATATTTATATCAGAACACAAAATGGTAAATAATTACATAATACTGAAAATCATGGCCCAGCCAAGTAGACACATATTTTGGGGAAACACAGTTCAATCCATCCACCACTTATCTGTCAGCTTGTTATACTGTAGTGGCTTGCATGTTGCTGTGATGCTGAAAGCTATGCCACTGGTATTTCAAATACCGGCAGGATCACCTAAAGTGGACAGATTTCAGTGGGGCTTCCAGACTAAGACAGACTAGGAAGAAGGACATAGCTCTCTAATTCTGAAAAAAAACTGGCCACTGAAAACTTTATGAATAGCAGTAGAACATTGTTTGATAGAGTTGGAATATGAGCCTGTCAATTTGGAAGGCACTCAAAATACAACTGGGGAAGAGCAACCTCCTCAAAGTAGAGTTAACCTTAATGACATGGGTGGAGTAAAGCTTTTGGGACCTT